CACTTCCTACTTGTAAWTAAGCACTACAAAGACTGTGGTCTCAGAAAAAAAAGTGAAGACAAAAAAAAAAAAATTCAAACTAAAGTAGCAAATCCAGAATTGAAGACTCCAAGAGCATCTGGCAGTTCTTTACTGTCCCACACACAGGCTCTGCAAAAAGTCAGGAACATTAGCAACCTGTGTACTGTAGTAGAGATTTTTTGATACTATAGAGGCATTTTATCCCTCTGCTCTTTGTATTTGAGCTACTCTCCCAAAGGGTATTTTTGATACACAGGCATTGTCACAGGAACAGTCAAGAAAAACCCCTGCATGCTATCTAGCAAACCACAGATATCCCTTGGAAAGGATAGATTGAAATTTGGTTTGCAACTTCAAAAATAAGATTTTTGCTGAAAGGTTGACTTCAATAAACATGGTTGCATTCAGACTTAGTCAGGAATTGTCAGTAATTCACGTAGCTTGCTAACCTTTAATTTGACTAGAAATTTCATGTGCACACACACTTTGAAGAACAACAAAAAGTGYACCAAGCAGTCTCTCCTAATGATAAAATGACCTCCCATTCTAAATCCTACTTCGTTAAGTATCTGAAACTATATAGAAGCCTTTTTTTCTAACTGTTCTCAAATAAACTAAGTTCTCTTAAAAAAAAAAACCCACCCTTTTTGCCATTAGCAGACTTTGCACTCAACTGAAATTGCTGAATACTTGGSAGTATATTCCAACAAATAAGATTTATACTCCCCTGAGTATTTGTATTTCACTTTCAATTAATCTTTCTCAAATGAACTCCAGGCATCACAAAAGCAGAGGGAACTGGATGCATAAATCTTCAAGTCCACTTCCTTGCACCACTGGCCACCTCTAATAACTAACACRCATAACAGAGAATTTCCTTATCTTCACATGATCCCACAAACCCACTGCAGTACAAACTCCTAATTAAAAATTGTTCCATGTGAAAGGTGGAAGAAGAGGTAGAGCATTCAAATTCTGTGAAAGGTGTTWAATTGAATTTCTTTCAACCAGCAATCAGTGCCCAGACAATGGTCCAGATAGAACTATGCAATTTCTTTTAAGAATGACATGCTGTAAGAACACATGCATCTGCAGATATGGATAAAACAAATAAAGTGTTAAACGGAACTAAATATGAACYGAGGTATAACAGATTTCCCCAGTTTTCATTGTGAAATGGAAAGAAACAAACAAAGGAAACAACAGATACTGAAGTGAGTCAAATAATTAATACGGCCTTATTTTTTCTATAATTAGAAAACTCAACTTACACTAGTTAAAAACATGTATTTCTGAAAGGGTGTCCAGTAGCAAATAAGAAAATTACATCTTTTGATACCTTTTGCAATCTCYAGGAGAAAGTACTTCATGCTGAAACACCCAGACCCGTTTTCCTCTGCTCTCAGTGCATTGTCTTCAGTTCCAATGCCAGCGTGTGTCACAGTGCACACACCACCAGCTGCTCTCACCCTCTAAACAGATCTCCACGCACTCCAAGCAAGTGAGCTGAGCTTTTGCCCTGCAATTTCCCCATTTCATARTAATTATTATACCCTTTAGCTTACCCAGAGCATTTAAGCCTCTTTGGATGAGCAAAACGACCACATTCTGCAGTCTCAGCCTCAGTGAGAATTCCCTGTCACAACATATTTCTTTGCCCATTAGCCAGCAGATTTTAACCATGTCTTCCAACAGCCCCCAAGTAAGGTTCCAGGGCAATGTGCCTAACATTTCTCAATTCTTCAAACTCAAAGCATGTTATAGGTATTGACAAAGGCTTTTTGTATTTAAACAGTTCACCACATACCAGAGATAAACAAGACAAAACAAAGAACATGCCTGAAAAAGTACGACATTTGACATGAAAAAATAAGCTTAGAAACAATATTCACRCCAATATTACATTTGACTTGCTCTCTTCCTCCTTCACACTTCTATTCGGGCAAGTATTCTTTGTTTAGTATGTTCTCTCATGTTCCCAGAAGTTTCCTTCAATATATTGAATGGTTTTTTTTTTATTTTATAGTGAGCTTCAAGCCATCAAATACAATTCATTACAGCACAGATTGTCTTAAGAGATGCTTCACACCAGACCTGCCTGTGTTACAGCAGTGCTGAACGCAATTCATGTAGTCAACAAATAATTATGCAAAAGCAATTTACAGCAGTACTTTACTGATAACCACAATGCTGTTTGAATAAATACAGAGTATCTTACAGCCCAACAGTCAGGAGCTTGTAATTTACTGCCCATCAATATTGACCTTTCTACATAAGCACTGATCTCTAGCATATGGGCATGAGTAATAGCTTTATTTTCACACAGACAGCTCTAAATTTGGAAAACTTTTTTTCCCCTCTGCAATGATTCATAAAATAAAATGCACATTTCCGGAAAAATCTCTTTCAGATTAACTATGCCCAGAATTTGGAATTTAAAACAARTATGCTGAACTAGTATCAATCAAGTATTTAAACCTGTTACTTAATAAACTATACTTTTTCAAAAGAAGTACTGATTTGGAATAAGACAATGCATGGAAATTCTGGCAAGATGAAGGAAAAAGACTTTATAGCGAGGACGACGAAATGTAGAATGCCTAGCAAGGCTGCAAAATCTCCATCCTTGAAGATATACAAAATTCAGAGAGATGTGGCCCTGTGCAACCTGACCTTACTTGGAAATTGTAGCCTCCCTTTGCGCAGAAGTTTAAACAAGATGACCTCTGAAATTATTTTTAATTGTATAACAACATAGGAGATGCCCATAGGCACACAGGAATTATATCCACACCAAACATCTTACTAGCTGCATGCTGCTTTTTCACCTTACAGAAGGAAGACACAACATGACTAGATGCAGACTTAAGATCTCTGTACCTGAGGTATGATAGACCCCACAGCTTGAAAAGGAAGCCACCCATCACTTAAAGCCACTGTTAGTCTGAATGATCTCTCACTGTTAAATAACAGCACTTCTGTGTCCTGTATTGGGTTTAGCTGAGATGGAGTTAACTTYCCCTACACTGCTGTGCTTTGCACTGGTGGCTGGAAAGGTGTCAATAACACACCAGTGTTTTGGGCACTGCTGAGCAGCGCTGGCATAGCATCAGCACCCCTCTCCAACATTCCACCTCCAACACCRGCAGCTGGCTGGGGGGAGGCAAAATCTTGGGAAGGAACATACCCAGGACACGTGACTCACACTGACCAAAGGGATTATTTCATACCATAGGATGTCTGCTAATATAAAAGGCTAACAAAAGGAGAAGGAAGAGGGGCATTCATTATTTACAGTGTTTGTCTTCCAGAGAAACCACTACATGTGCTGAAGCCCTGCTTCCTGGCAAGGGTCTGGACATCACCTGGTGATGGAAAAGAGAGAACAAAAGCTTTGTTTGCATGCATGCAACCTTTCACYTTTGCTTTATTAAACTGCCTTTTCTCAAACTACAGATTGTTTTCCATCTTATTTTCTCTTCCCAGGCCAGCTGAGAWGGGGAATGATAGAGTGGCTTGGTAGGCACCTGGTGTGCAGCCAAGGTCAGCCCTCCGGAGTCCCAATAGCAGAACTCCAGGTGCAGTTATGAGAGCAGAAGCATCTGACCATTGGTGACAACAAAGTCAACCAACAAAAATAAACAAAGAAAGTTTCATTCATTGCATCTTTCAAAAATGAACAGAAAGGAAAGAAATAGTTTTTAATTTTTTATTCCAGTTATGAACCCCCTTTGAATAATGAATGTCTGTTTTCCTTCTAGTGATTGTGCTACACACGGTGCTAGCAAGTGAGCAACTCAGCAAATTCCTGAAACCATACTATTTAAATCACTTTAAAATAATTTCCTAATGAGGTAAGTGCAACCCAAATGTTACAGCAGCAATGAGAGTAAAAAGTAATCTGAACATTCTTTCATAAGCAAACTCAAAACTAAGAAAACTCAAATGAGCTTCTCAGAGTCCTGAGACCTTTTATTCCTCAATCTCAGAAACACAGGTATAAGATCCTATTAAAATAAACTAAACTCAATGTAAGAAACTATTTCTAATAACCTAATTTAAAATTTTAAACAAATGTCAAAAGAGAAGAATATGTCCTCTACAGAATGTTCTGCTGACTTTAAAAAAAAAATCTGTATAAATTAGCACACATGAGCAGCAATTTCTCATGAATGTTTATACAACCAAACTAAATCCAATAAACATGAAGGGAGAAAAAAAAAATGCAAGCAACATAGCTATTGCTTATCTGGAAGAAATGTAAGTTAGGATGAACAGGAATTTTATTTTCTCTTGATGACACAGCAGCAGTGACACTTTCAAAGTCCCATCACCCACATTCAATATAGTTTAGGTCCCAAGTACTTCAATTGCTTTTTTTTTTTTAAATAAAGATGAGGTTATTTCCAAAAGGTTGCCCAGAGTAGYTATTTTTCMATTTAAAWGATCCATATKTTATGCATTTAACTRTAGTTGTCCCAAAATTATTCATGCTGCATCTTCTTCCCCACTGCCTTGAGCCCACTGTCTGAGTGTGGCACTCCTCATCACATTGGACTTAATTAGATTACAACTTCATTGAAGCAAGAAGTATCTAATATTTATTTGAATGGCGCCTAGTACACACTTTCAGGCTGTGAGAATAKGTTTTAATTACTGCATTACCAAACTGTGGAAAAAAAATACCAGTTAACAYGACATAGTGTAAACTGATGATAGGAATTAAGAGCTGATGGATATGTAAGCTTCTGTAGGTGGGTCTTCCCCATAAAAGAACATTAAGTGCAAGACATTCAAATAACTACAAACTCTTTTAAGGAAGCACACCAATATTAGAACTCTATCTCTTCATCAAAAGTTTTAAAGTGTCTGAGTCCAGATAATTAGCTGGCACAATGATGAGGAAAACAACTGATAGCCAATTCAACAGAATATACAGGAAGATACAAGCCTCTGCATCTAAATTGAAATTTAAATACCTCTTTATTGCTCCTGGAAGATCTAAATTGAATGGAATTTGACAGGAGGATGCTAAAGTGTCATCCACAGCTTTGCTTATTTCCTGCAGCTCTCTTAAAGAAAYGCAGCCAAGTAAAGCAGCCAGTTCACAGTCCTGTGACTGAATAAGCCTATCTTGTTCTTCRATTTCTCTTCTTAGCTGTTGATCTTTTCCTTCTAATATGGCCAGTCTTGTGCGGAGATCTTCAATTTCTTTCTGCATAGAACAGAAACCAAAGTTTACTATGAACCCTATTTAAAAAACCCTTTTACCCCTAAGAAAAAACAGTACAAGTGTCAGAAGTAGTACGAATTAAATTTGTCCAATTTAGTAAGCATTAAATGAGGGAACATTTTCTTGCTGATACACAAACGCTTATGTCAGTTCTATTTAGAAACTCTATTGCTCCCAGCAGTCTGAAACTCACCACCTCCATTTCAACACCAAATTTCAGGTTCCTCTTCCAACCCCTACTGTGAGCCATCTTTTAAAATACACAGGTATTTCCCAAGTTCAAAAGTTTAAAATTTCCACCAAAAAAGACAAATGTCAGATCATCCATGGCAACAGAATCTTGTTCTACAGACTGGCAGCTGAAGTGATCAAACATCTGTCCTGCAGAATATCTCTGCAATGGTTCACCTAATRGTTCCAGTCTCACATCAGGTACAGGATGCAAGCAGAGACTCACTGATTATCTGACCAGCCCTTCTGATAATTAACATTTCATTTTAGCTAAAAGCACAAAATCCTTCCATTGACTTAAAATGGCCAGAACTTAAACTTCAGTTGCACTCATTTTTCTAGAAGCTCAAACTGTGTGCATTATGATATTGATGTTTCTTGCAGGASCAAATTGTAATTTTTAGAATCATAGAATTGTGGAATCATAAATGCTGGAAAAGATCATTGTGTCCAACCTTTGACTAAACAGCACCTTGTCAACTAAACTGCAGCACTGCCATGTCCAGTCATTTCTTGACCATTTCCAGGGACAGTGACTCTACCACCTCCCTGAGCAGGCTGCTACAAAGCCTGACTACCCTTTCAGTGAAGAAGTTCTTCATGTCCAGTCTTAGTGTAATCCTGGTACACCTTGAGGCCATTTCCTCTTGTCCTGTCACTTGCTACCTGGTAGAAGAGACCAACCTGGCTACAGCCTCCTTTCAGGTTGAGAGTGATAAGGTCCCCCCTGAGCCTCCTTTTCTCCAGGCTAAACACCAACAGCTCCCTCAGCTGCTCCTCATCAAGCTTGTGTTCCAGACCCTTTACCAAATTTATGCTCTTTTTCACTGCCCTTTTCTGGACATGCTCCAGCACCTCAATATCTTTCCTGAATGAGGAGCTCAACAGTTAAAAAAAAAAAAGCTTCATTAATTTGCACATCATCCTTGTACATGTTTTTCCTTGAAAACCCAGCATATAGCTTGCATCCAAGGAAGGAGCATTTCTTGAAGGAATCTGGGTTGCTGAGTTAAAGTTGTTATCAAAATATTTGAATGCCATAGTGGAGAATTTGATTCTATTTCTATATTTCTTACTGTCTCTGAAACTTTGAAAGCCACTTAAACTATTATCTCCACATATGGCCACAGACCATATGTTCATAATGTTTTACACAACCTGCGAGAGGTCTCTGACATGCTGTCTATAGGCTCTCAACAGAAATCAAAGCTCAATTCCATGCTCTGATCCCATTCAGTCCAACTCAAAATAAAAATGAAAAACAAAAAGCCAGAAAACCAAAACTAAATCTTTAATAAGTAAACAACTAGACATTACAAAACTGATGTTAGAAAACACCATATGGCTTTTTATGGCAATTTTCTTCTCCATTCTCCATCTAYAAAATAGCAATAGGAATAGCTCTTCTGTTGAAATGGTATTAGAGTTAAAATTAAGTGGGTTTGAAACACTAAGATACCATGTTGATTAATACTATTAAAAAAGCACACTCACAAATTAATAAATCTGCATTCAAAAGAAGGCTTGAGTAGCATATAATAAAAGGGTTCTAGGGTCAAATACTGAGTAATGAAAATAAAATGGTATTCTGAATATCTGAACAGATAAGTCATCTTCAGCTATGAATGAGGTAAGGATCTAGGGGGGAAAAAGGGCATACTTCTGTACTTACAGACACAAAACATATATACTATGCACAAACAACAGACTTTGGCATTTGTTTGCTTTTTTTAGAGCTTCATAACCTTAACATTATTTTAATCTTTTCAATGCAATTTACATAGTTTAGTTCACTAATGATCATTTTGTTAACAAACGTGCTTTCAGGTTGGCTGCACTGTAACCAGYTTCCCAAGTATCACTTAAAACAAGAAGTATCCTTTCATGTTCCAAGGTTGACTAGCTCCAAAGTTTTAACTTACAATGGTGCTGCACACTAAGTTCACAAATTATTTTCCTCCTTCTTTGGTTTTCAATATACCAGCAAGAGAATGGTGTGGCCCATGTTTCAACAGACAGGCATTTGTCAAGGACAGAAAGGTCAGCAGACCAAAAACATCAGTTTTGTTTCTTTCAGTCTCAAATTAGGCTTTTAGTGTGCACAAAGGACAATTCTGTCTCTGTGTTACTGGCTTGGGAACACTGCCAAATCTTAATAGGCCCTACTTAATAGAGAGACCTTCATATTCTGTGAAAACGTAGTAATTGCCATCACTGAAACCTACATGGGAACAGAAAGGAAGATGAACAGAATCTGGTTTTACAATCACACTTTTAGTACTGAAATGTACAACATAAATAGATACCAGAAGCACACAATCTGCATTCACAGAAAGAAAGCTGCTCTGCTCAGGAATAGTTCACAGGCATTCTTGGGAGCATGGAATTCTCCCACATTCTTTTCCAGAAATGCAAAGGAGCCTTTAGCGTGCTCTTGGTCAGCCTCCAGGGACAGATAAAAAGGGCTTAAAATGGAGCAGCAGATGATGTTCATCTCACCAACATAAGCTCGAGTTTTACTCTGCAGATTGAGTTTAAACGGAGATTTCCAACACAACAGCTAATCAGCAGTGATGGCAAACCTCCAGCTCCACTTGCGGACTGATGTTCTCCATCAAGTAGAGATTGCAGCAGAAACATCAATACATAAATTATAGACACTGYGACAAGTTTACAAATCCCTGAGGACAAAGGCAGAACCACCAGGAGAGAGGACAGAAGAAAAAGTAAAGAAAAGTGGGGCTGAGGAAAACAAACAAAAAAATTCTTTGGGCAGGAGCAATCCTCAGGGGATGCTGGGTGCAACGAGTCACCAGAAGTCAGTCTTCCCCAGAACCTTGAATTCCTTGTAATTTTGATAAAGTGCTAAAATATAGCATGCCTGTACAATGCTGTGGTTGGTTTTTTTCCTAGTGTAACTACATATGCATAAAGATTCAGCTTAAGCAAGTGTAAAAATCAGCTGTTGTGTGGAGTCTTAAGTACATCAGTTTTCGTTTCAATATCTTGAGGTGGCTCTTGGATGTCTAGATTAAAATAGCTTTCTGCACACTGATAATGCTGAGCTACACTATGTCTCTTCTTATGTTGATGAAATAAATCCAAAAAATATAAAAGGTGATGACTAGGATAAAAAAGATATTTCTTCATCTAAGTACAAATTTGCAGTGACCACAAAAGATGTTTTGCTCTATTTCTTTCCAGATTTTTATATATGGACGCATTTATGTGTGTACACACACAGATTACTCCACTATGGGATCCACCAAGGAATGAAAATATAAAAAAACATCTCAAGACAAGACCACAGAAAAAAGGGAAAACTAGGTCTACTAGCTCTCTCTAAGGTGCCACATCACCAAGCATGATCACCAAGGTTTAAAAGACATATAATTAGCACACTGAGGTTTTTGAAGGACAGTGAAAAGAAAGCGCTAAATTTTGCTTAGAAGGCTTGCAGACTTAAAATTGGACAAATGCCATCTTGAAACATTCCATTTGCCAAACTATCACATTGTGACATCACATGTCAATGTAAAGCTATTGTTAGCAAATGCTGACTGCTCCGTGATGATTCCTTCATCCTTATGAAAAGCATCAATCATCTTTCAGGAACAAAAGCTGGTAAATCATGTATTTATAGTAAATTCTAACCAGAAACAGATGAAAACTTTTTGTCTTCAAATAAAAACTTCTGAAGATCAGTGTAATATTAAAATGTCAAATTATAACAAAGAGCACACTTAAAAAGATAATGAGGAAAGTTTAAGCAAGCACACGAGCCACCAGGCCTTCCAGCTCTGCGTCTCTGTAATGAGATTAACACAGCTCCTGTGGCTGCCATCTCCAATCATCACTTAGATTATCGACTGGACTCCAGCCAAGGCTCTAATTACTATACAGAAGCAAAGTTGCTATTACAATAAATTTATTTAATTCTGTGTGACAGCTTACAAGGTTTTCCCCACATAGCACTGGTTCTCATACACAACTTTGCAGTCCTGTTACCTGTAACCGTTTCTTTTCTTGRAAAAGCTGGTTTTGTTTTGTGGTCAAAACCTGCATCCTCTCCTGGTAAGTTGATCTCAAAAGCTTATGCTCTTTTTCATGACAAAGACCGTTCTCTTCATGTCTAACCCTTTAAAAAAAAAACATGACAAAAGCTAAAAATTAGTGGTTTTCATCAGTTTCAGTGTCTCAAGGATTAAACAGATCAGAATGCTACATATTACCCTTAGAGCCATAACACTCCACCACCAGAATGATTGCATCTCAAACAGATACAGTTAGAGAACAAGAGATTTTTTTTCCTTGGCATATCTTCCTTTATTATCTCAAACATTTACACTGTTTTTACAACACGATGAAGAAAGAAAATGGAAAGCTTGTATAGCTTCAGGCTTCCCTCAGCTTTATCATATTTCAGAAATTTATCCATCACTGCCTTGGAAGARACAAAACTAAGGCATGTAGTTTCTATCAATACAGAGAAAAATCTCTTAGACAGAAGTTTAGAAACTTGCCAAACCCATTTTTGCAGCTTCTGTCAGCTTTTGAAGACTACATTAGAGATCATCTGGAGTGTTTGCTCCACAATGCCAAATTTTACATCCCTCTTGCACAGAGAGYTCTTTCAAAATCGCAGTCAGTGGGATTCCTCCCAGTCATCTGTACAGCCCTCAGTTGTAAACCTTTGCATGACTGGACTTCAAAGTAATCAGCACATTATGTTAAGTATCAATTCCATCATCAGCCTCTCAAAATGCACCTGCAAACAATGCAAATCTGTTTTGCCTCCCACGTTCCCTCACGAGGGCATGTGCACTTGCAAGGAATATTGCATTTCTGTGTTCATCTCTAGAGACAAGTGCATGCATTTCCACATAAAGAGCCCGGATTCATTTCAGTATCTTCTTTAAAAAAAATACTATGTCTCAAACAAAGAGCATTCTTGAGGCATGATTTCCCACTGTAGTCCTGCAAAGCAAATACATCCATGCCACATATAAAACATGCATCACAAGTCTGGTTTAAGCATGATTAATCACACAATTATGATCTCCATGCACAGCTGTTTAACAAGTGTGTAGAACAAGAGGTTTTCATCTATCCTGCAGGACCATTAAAAGACATACTCCCTCTCTGTGGGCTGCAGAATATACTGAAAAAGCGAAGTAAAGCCTCAGCAGCAACATAGGTATCATTAAGCGAGAGAGACATAATGACAGTGTAATTGCATTTCTGTATTAACAGCATAGATCAAAGAGGCATCCCTGTTAGGAGGTGSTAGGCCATCACTGTGCCTTAAATCATTGCACGCTCCTGTGGCTCCAACCAAACACACTTCTCAGCAGCTCTGCAGCCCCCTTGGTCAAGCTACACCTGCATCATTCCCAGAGAGGTACATAATAAATTTCCAAGTGGCTCATGGAAATTTAGGAAAAAATTCTATTATAAATGTAGTTTATTTTCAGAGCCTTCTTGGAAATTCCATGTGTATCTGTCTACTTGGTACTCATGGAAGAGAAACAAAATCTCACTSATCTCATCAAATTTGACTGACTGCACAACCACAGCATCTGTGTTCCTAAGCTAAACATAACCAAATCTGGCCCCCACCACATGCCCCTAATATCCTGTGTCCACATCAAATGCATTCACTTAAAAACCCATCTCATCATTTAATCAAGTAAAACAAAGCTGAATTTCAGTTTCATATTTTAAACAAATAAGCTGCCATAGACACTTTTCATTTCAGAATACTGAAAAATGGTGGGATTGACTCATCTTTTTTGACAGTAAAATCACAATGATCTGGTCTTCTAAGGCTAGTCTGATAATCTTTTTAATTTTCCAGGTGGAAAGAAAAAAAGTCTTCTTGGGTATCTATGTTTTGTTCCAATTCAAACTGAAAACAAAAACTGAGCCTACAAATTTTCCTCGAAGAAGCAATGTTTTCCACTGCACTATCTGAAAATACTGTTGGAACAGACAGGACTTAAACCCCTACACAGAAGATGAAAGGTATGCTTGCTGTATTGACAAGTCAGACCACAGACAAAGCAGTGTAAAGGGCTCCAAGAATCAAGCAAGCAAAATAAAAGGGTGTCACAACAACAGTAGTAATATTTGAGCTCAAAGAAAGGAGTGTACACAAGACAGAAGAGGGAAGAGGATATTCATCTRACCCGGAAGAATGGCATGGCTCAGACCTGTGCAAAGAGAAGAGTTATAGATATAATCATCCAAAGTACAGGACCACTTTCATAAATATGTTATAACATCCATTTTATATATAAAAATATTATATATTTTTATACAGGATAAAAATAAACAAACTGTATCTGACGGATGCTTTAGTGGCCCAATTTCTATGACAAAGAAGACAATACAACCTCTAATGCCAAAATCATTATTACAAATTAATGGCTACAGCAAACACCTCTTAGTGATAAAATAGAGAATGGTGTCTCCAAATATTTAAAGAATGGTAGAACAGCCTCCTAGAGCCTCAGAAGGTAGAAGGAAACAGCTCAGAAGGAGTGTAGCTTGTTTTAAACCTTCTTTATTACTAGATGATATCAATAGAGACCAAAAATACCTTAAAATTCTCCRATTCCACCAAAAGATCATATTATTTGTACTGGTTTTATCTAATTTTCTTGTTCTATCAAAAAATTACACCCAAATGTATTGACTAGCTCACAGCAGCCTTTATATGAACAAGCTGCCAGAAAACAAAAGATTTATCTTCTTTCATTTGTGCCATTGCATTTGAGTACAGCTTTCAACACCTATAGAGTATCCTCTTCTAACAACACTAACTAGGAGCACAAGTGAAGACAGACCAAGAAACAGAGACTATTTTTTTTCTAAGCTAACTACCCATCTTGGGCCATYTGACACATTCCTCTGATTCTTGAAGCTGTTATCCCTTCAAGAAAAGGTTTAGAATTTATTTTTGTGACTTTGTACAGTGCCGAGAACAATATTGCTACCTAAGAAGTGGCACACTAAAGGAAGCTCCCAAAGGTCTATTCGTATCGAAAAATAATCTGTTTTTTTTTTTTATTTTATATTTAAATATCCTCTCATTGCCTGAAAGGGAGCATCAGAATTAACTCCACAGGGAACCGTTGCTCAAGCTGTTTTGCTGTTGTATGCTCAAGCTGCCGTGTCAAGGATTCAATCCCATTCCCCCTCAACATCAGTGAGAAATGTTCCATTTAATTCKCCAGTTCATCATGATCAATGTTTATCAAGGGAATTCTCAAAAACTATCGAAAGAAAAGAAAGGGGGGCAGGCTGGGATTTTCATAAACAAGCTCTATATTGATACATTAAGACGGTCACTAAAACTCTTTATTAAAATTGTTCCTAAGTTTTATTCTGCATTTTTAGAAAAAGAGAAGCATCATTTTACACAATAATGAATCAACAAACTTACCAATCATCAGCAGCCCAGCGCAATGTTGCCTGAATTTGGGTCAYGAACCTATCCAAAAAACTGCTAACTGAAGGATGCCTTGAAGGAAGCTGAAATTTTAAAGAATTTTTCTCCTTCTCCAGTTCTTCCAGTTTCCGTCTAAATTTAYCAGCTAGAAATCAAATTAAAAAAAAAAAATTAAACAATGGCAAAAGGGTCCTGTTTTACCTGGGGGAAAAAAAAGTCTCCCAAGAAAAAGTAAAATCCACCACTCTGATGGATCTTCTTCCTCTTTTCATAAAATACATCAGTCGGTTCTGCTCAAGGACAAATTAACAAGACTACAATGCAAAACATCAAATAACCAAGAGGCCAAGCTACTTTTTCTATTACAAGGACAAAACTGCAGACTTCCCAACACTTTTTTAATTTCATAGGGCTCCAAAGAATTGGCTCAAAGTCATTATCCATGCTCTTCCTAGAGTAACAGCTGAGAATTAATTATTCCTAGAATTAACTACTAATTAGTAATTCCAGTAAGTGTATCTTCTATTGTGCCACTATACCAGCAAAATCACATATATGACAGATAACAAGCCTGCCAGTCCAAGACAGAACACCTTTGATGATACATTAGTCAAATTAGACAGTTCTGAGCTAACCCACAAATGGAAAACATTTACAGTTCAGTATTTTGCTCATGACCTCGCTGCCTACAATTTTGTGTGATTAGCAATCCTTTTAACATTTTCAATACATTACTATCAGAATAGCATCCATCTGTGTGCATGCTTTTTACTGCTTATTTTCTTTCTTTATCCTCCAAGGGATTTAAGAAGAGAAGTTGCTTACATTTGCTGATTTAGCAAAATGATGCATTTTTACAATAATCTATCATTAGTATTGATCTCCATTCTGTACCAGCAGGATAGAATAAAGACAGAAAATCTACTAATAAGACTAGATCTTTTTCCCCATCCCAGCACACTGTTGCAGGATAAACTCACTGTGGTGTTATCACTGGGKTGCAAAATGTCAGAAAGCTCTGGCTGAAATGAGGGCCCCACCCCCCACATACCCATGTGCATACTCTTCCTGCAAAGTAGCAGAGGTGAACCACATCTGTGATGCATTTCTCAGGGGCCACAGCTAAGTAGACTCACCCCATSCTTATCACTACACTGAAAGTGAAATTACAGCTGAGATGAGACCCCCAGGCCCATATTTTGACCAGAAAAACACATCAGCACTTGCATGCTGATGTTCCACTCAGCACTTTAAACTCAGCCATCAAAATTACCGATGTTACAAACAGAATAGTAAGGATTGAAAGGGTTGGATTGTGACCAGCGACCACTGAGCACCTGGAAACCACATGGAAACACTTCCTTTTATTCACAACATTCACCACTAGGCTTGCTGGGAGTTGTGGCAACCCTCTACAGCCATTTAACAATGTCATCATTGTTCTCCAGCATAATTATGCTTAACTGTGTTTGTGTGTCCAGTTGTTCCATCACTCTACTCCTACCCCTCCTGGCCCTAGAAACAGGCTATTTTGGGAAGGAAAACAGATGAGGGGATCCACATGCCAATTTATTCTCTCTCTCTCATTAAGTCTTGGCTGCATCCTGCTTTACATATTCCAATTTACACAGTATTCAATTAGTTTATACTAACAGACATTTCTAAATTATTTGTTCCACTGGCATGTTATAAATAATATGGATGGTCATATCCACTTATCTCTCTGCACTAAATGGGTTTTTTTATCCTTTTTATCTTTTCAGCATCACAGTTAAAGGCTATGTCTTAAGAGACTCCAGCACTACTGAGCTGAACACTGCAGCACTCAGCTTTTAGGATCCACTCCTGGAAAGGAAGGCCCTGCCATATGACCTGGCTGATATCTTCAGTGCATGGAGAGACCCAAGAGCCTCAGTGCCAGCTGCAGAGCAGGGAACCATGCAAATAAGCCTCATCTCAATCCAGCTTTCAGTGTTGCAGCTCAAGAGGAATCTGGATCAAGCACAAGTAATGGAAATGCTCAGAAGTCTAGCCAACAGGAAGTGAAGGAGGGCAATATGCAGGGTTCCTCAGACTAGCAGAGAAATAAATAATGAGGGAGCTTCCAGTACTACTATGAGCCAGCAAACAGAAAGCAGTAATACAACGTTCCCTTAGAACCTGAGTCCTCAGTAACGAACCTGAGTTGCAGCAAAAAATATGAGAAAAAAACATTAGATATAGTGAAGCACTAAATCTAATTGCCAGGGTTAGACAGGAAACCTCCACCAGTGTCACTTTTCAGGTCAGACAAACATCTCTCAGGAATAGCTCTGGCAGAGTTTTAAGGTTGAGGCCTTCTCTTGTTTCAACAAGGGAAAGTGCCAGATGCTGCACCGGGGATGGAGCAACCCTGGRTATATGGACAGACTGGGAAATGAGATGCTGGAAAGCAGTGCTGTGGAAATGGGCCTGGGYAYTCTGGTCRATGGTAAGTTGAACATGAGCCAGCAGTGCCCAGGCAGCCAGGAGAGACAAGTGTGTCYTGGGGTGCATCAGGCACAGCATCGCCAGCCRGRCAAGGGAGGGGATTGTYCCACTCTGCTCTGACCTGGGGCAGCCTCACCTCRAGTGCTGGGGGCAGATTTGGGTGTCACAATATAGAAAAGAGATTAAACTGTTRGAGAGKGTCCAAAGRAGGGCAGTGAAGATGSTGAAGGGCCTTGAGGGRAAGCTGTGTGAGGAGTGGCTGTGGTCACTTGGTCTGTTCAGCCTGGAGCAGAGGAGACTGAGGGGAGACCTCATTGCAGTTACAACTTCCTTGTGAGAGGAAGAGAAGGGGCAGGCACTGATTGCTTCTCTGTGGTGACCAGTGACAGGACCTGAGAGAATGGCCTGAAGCTGTGTCAGGAAAGGTTTAGGTTGGATATTAGGAAAAGGTTTTTTASCCAGAGGGTGGTCAGACACTGGAATAGGGTCCCCAGAGAAGCTGTCATGGCACCAAGTCTGACAGAGTTCAAGAAGTGTTTGGACAATGTTTTCAGGCACATCAKGTGATTCTTTGGGCTGTCCTGTGCAGGAGCAGGAGTTGGACTTTGATGATCCTTATTCTAACTCAGACTATTCTGTGTGATCTCTTCTACCATATTTTCTAGGATTTTTCAGCCAAGAAGCAGACACAGAAGGCCTTTGCTATTCCTAAGTCATTGGACTCACAAACACAAATTCCTTTTACTTTCATTTTAGTCTTTTAAGCATGTTATTCCAACACAGAAAAGACCTYCACAGAATCCAAGAACTCATGATAGACTGAGACATCAAAAGAAACTGCATGCACTCAAACACCTCCATCACAAAAAAGGCTTAACACTTTGATTCTCTATCCCATACTTCACTTCAGAATAAGTGATTTAATGCACAGCTTACATGCAAAAAGCAATCCCCCCATTTGATGAAATTCTTAAATGAACAAATGTTCACGTAATCAATACACACCATTTTACAGAACCATTTAAAAGAAGGCCTAATTGTCTTTCTCATCCTTTCATTCACTGTATTCTGGGGCTAGCTTGCTGCCTTGCAGAGTCCTACAGATACCCTAGACAAAGCTCCTACTTAGACCAAACAGGAAAAGTTAACTCTCAAATTACTCTACTTTGAAATCCATTACCGACTGTGTCCTTCAGACATTCCACACCCTTTAAAGCCAACCCAGAGTACAGGCCTGGAAGATGTGACTAACTGCTGTTCTCAAACACCCAGCAGTCAGAAAACTGTGGTGCCTCCAAAGATCATGCTKTGTAATAGCTTTGAGTAAAAGAAGTCATTTCCATAATTTTCAATTGACCATGTGAGAACWTCTGGCTACCTCTCTACTTTTTACGTACTCTAACACTGGTTTTATTCCTCCAAAAAGGAAGAGTTCACTTTATCAGAACTATTTATCATCATATAAAAAGCATTTCAGAAAATTATTTCAGTAAGGACAAAACCTCATTTTCTATGTACTGCATATGTTTATGTTCATTTATATTTGTGCTAATAAATGGGAAGATGATCAATCATGTCATTMTACAAATTGCTGGACATTAAGCAAGTGTTTCCTCAGCTAGTTCAACCAGAGAAGGTCATTTGATCTTGCGCCACAATTCAGTAAACAACTCCTCCCTTTTGCCCTTGCATCCACCAAAAATCTGAAAGCCCTAAAATAGGATTTGTGTAGGATTTACAAGCATAAATCACACACAGCAGCCGCAAAATATTTTTTCTTGCTTGCTAGATACTTCTGGAGACACGTATTCTCCCCAGCATTCACTTTCTTAAAAACTTGAAGGGTCCAAGTTGACTGAAGTGTTTTATATGCCCAGCACCAAAGACAGTTATGCATTTTTGTAAGAACCGAAGAAGTCCCATGTTCAGAACCCAACACCCCTCTAGCAACCTGTATCCAAAAACACACACAGTCAAAGGACTTTAGAGAGGAGACTGAGAACCAGGGTGCAAAGTGCCCCCTTCCTGTTCCTGAATCCCTAATGTCTGTCAGCTAAACTTCCTGTGCAAGACACTACAGTTAGAGCTCTTCACTGATTTAAGCAGGAGGAAAAAATAAAATCACCAACTGGTGGACATCTATCCACCAGAAACGTCTCTCTTCTCAGGCTATCTATGCTTTTKGTCTCCAAAATAACAGAGAATATAAAAACTGATTTATTAACTATTTAAACCCATTGCTCATTTGGTAATTTGAGGAGTCTTATGTAGATTTTGAACATGTGACTGAAGCACATCTGTAGAGCAGTGCAGTAAGCAAGGAGTCTACAGACCACTTACTAACACTGGCCTCCTGCAAAATAACTTGCAGGAGAATATGAAGATCAATTAATATTCAAATAGGACAYGTAAAGACAGACACCATGGTAAGAACTGAAGGCATCACAAGCAGCTGGAATACATATCTGCTCTTAACTTTAGGATAAAATAATTAACCATTTAACAATATTAAATATATACACCATCRAAAAAAACCACACTTGATATGTATAAAAGGGAGCTTCAGATTACATTTGGATAGCTGAACAGCTAGCCATTACCATATGCTGTCTGGTCACCAGTATAGAGCAAAACTTTTCTACCTTCCATTCAGCTCTGCATGTAGAAAACAGCAAA